CCGTGAAATTACGCACGTTTGGATTCCAGGTGAGAAATCAGGAAGAGGCCGGGACGCTGGGGAACGCTAATATAAACTGACATTATGGACGTGCAACCTCTGGAATGCACTTTGTAACACTTTGTAAGTTTGACTTAAGACCACACCGCTGCAGTCGTGTCAATCAATATTCTGACCTAAAAAGTAGCTCCGCAAATATGTCCAAAGAACCATAAAGCTGGGGTGTCTGTCTTTTTTATTATTAATACAGTACACATTGTTACGCTTGTGCTTCACAGAAAACAGGTCCTGGGTTTGATTCCTTCTCCAGTTTGCATGTTTTACCCTCTGTCCCCACTTCCACCCTGTCTCTCTGTGGCTAGGACTCCCCTGAAAAAAAAAGAAATTAATAATGCCCATACCTGCATTTGAAAACCAGATTCCGTCAGACCTCTGAAGCTAAGCAAGGCAGGGCCTGGCTAGCACTGTGATGGGAGGCCTCTGGGAACACCAGGTGCCACGGTGGGGCGTCTGCGGCTGTAAATCGCCTAGTTGTTGTTCTGTCGTGAGGCAAGACACTTCATCCACATTGCAGAGAATGAGTCTGGTGTGTGAGTGGATAGTTGGTGGTGATCAGAGGGAGCGATTGCCTCGCTTCTGTCAGTGTGCCCTATGGCAGCTGTGGCTACATTAGTAGTTAATCGCCACTGTGTATGAAGTGAATGAATAGTGAATGAATAATCCTGTAAATAAGTAAGTAACTACTCTTTCTTTACACACCAAACCAGGTGTAAAGCCAGGAACGAGTGAAAAGAAGTTCCGTACCCCAGAATAATTGTACTTCTTCATATAAAGAAGTAGAACCGACTTTTTTTGTATTAGCACTCATGCTTTTCTGTGCAAAATTCTATCAAAATGCACTGTTACCCCAAATGTTAGCCTTTCTTCATTGCTTCACTACTTCAACTGGTGAACTCAGAAGAACTATGTTTTAATGTGCATTTTTCCATAACACTTTCACATAAAGAAGCCATAACGACATGTTTCAATCCTGTCGCAACCTGAGCAGTCGCCATCCTTTGACGAGCTCTCTGTAGTCTGCATTGTGTTATTCTCCGAACTATCGTAAACATTTAACGTCCAAGGAGGGATAAGGGCCGCTCTCTATCGCAGCTCCAAAATGTCTGCTGCGCTGAAGAGACAAAAATAAATCTTTGTGAAGGGAAAGATTAGGGTCTGTCAGAGAAACATTTATCATAATCCAACCCAAATGTTACACTGTGCTTTCTAAGTGCTGATAAAACAGGAGAATGTTGTAAGTCCGTCCAAATCTTTCTGAAAATGTCGAGGCCGGCAAGTTAAATGCAGCCGAACAAATCTGCCGTGAACTTGACACAGTGAAGACAGGCGGTAAATCAAAAGTGAAGAACTATTGGAACAGGCCTATCAGGAAACGCTGCACAAGCCAACGATCTGTGGAATCTGTGTTCTCACATAACTGAGGCATAATCAGAGATCCCAATACTAAACAATATACTCTACTAACAATTTAGAGGCCACATGCAAGGACCATGTTACAACAATATTCCTGAAGCAGCAGGTAGGGGCCGGGGGCCATAGTGTATAATCTGATATTTACAGATGATCTTCTGTTTCCTCCAAATCCAAGGTCATGGTTCAAAACTGGAGAAACCACCCAAAGGCTTGTGTTATAAATTTACTCTGTAGCGTGCATGGGTGCTCCCTTAGAATAGGCTGAGAATGAAATCTTCCAGGAGAAGGTTCTGAGTAGAGCTGCTGCTTCTCCATGTTGAGAGAAGCTGAGATCCATTGTCTTTGGATGCATCCTGGCTGACAGAGGCTCTATTTAGACGGAGATGTTGCAACAGTAAAACATTGGAGTTGGGTTTCGGTTTGGCCTCCTGTTTACATGGAGACTGTGTTTCAGGGGAAAATGTAAGCGTTGAGAAACAGCCTCCACACAGAACAGATACACTGTTTTACAGCTGTGTGAAGAAAAAGGTATGAATTATCTGCCTGCTATGATCTCTCTACTTTCCCCATGTAAATTTGGACATATGCAGTGGCAGAGAACAAACGTTGCACGGAGGAGAATTCTACTCCTTTGTTCATCCAAACGAAACCCCTCAAAGCTCTAGTTTCAGTTTTCATGTAGAATTATATTGGTGCATTCTTTCCCGTCTTTGGGGTGGCCCGAGGAGGATGTTGTTGAGGAAGTGAATATACTGCTAGGGGTCACGCGTGTCATGTTGTAAAGTTCCTCTGCCCACTACTGAACAGGCCCTAGAACTACACGCCTCATCTAAACGCTGGAGACTGGTTTCTGTTAATTGCTTTGAAACGTCTGCGCAGTGCCTCCATCTAAACGGGACCTCAGATGTAAGCTCCCTTCTCTCTGGAGCCAGGACTCCCTTGAAAAAGTGTGTGTGCGTGCGTTTGCGTGTGTGTGCGTGTGTGTGCGTGTGTGTGTGCACACCTGTCAGGAACAGGTTTAGAAAGTGTTCTGTAAACAGAAGTGTGCTGAGGTTTATATGTCAACAAAAGACACACATCACCTCTCACCTGCTGCTCAGTGATCAACAATATTCACCAGAAACATCACACAAACAGAAGTTCAGTGAGACATTTGGAATACTTACTTAGTCATCCTAAATAATAATGCAATACACACTTTATTGTAACTCTCATGTCTCTTAAAGTAAAAATAGATCTAGAAGAAAAACAGTGTATGTACATTCAGTAATATCTTTAAACTATTGAGTCCCTTCTCCTCTCTATTCGCTGCATGACACAATGTGGTTTACATCTGTAGATTCACCACATGCATAAAAACCACTATGATGTTTCCAATTAAATGAAGACAAGCTGCTAGGCCACAGAGAACCATGGGGCCTCTCTCAGGAGCTGTGGTCTCCACAGTGCAGCACTGGGGCCCCATCTCTGCATCAGCTCCTGCACAGGTGTCTGTTACTTGTGGAGCAAGTTTACGCACAGAAGAAACCAGAGAAACGTCCGGGTGCACCCAGAGGCGCAACCGGAGGAAACCTATGTAGACACGAGAGAACATGCAAACTCCGCTCAGAAAGACTCTGTTCCGACGGGGTTCTAACCCAGGACCTTCTTGCTGAGAAGCTGCCACTCAGGTGAACTTGTGTGCATATTCAAAAAAATAGGCAACAAAATAAACAAAAAGACACACTTTAAAAGGGGGCTGATAAAGCAGATGCTTATTTGGCTCCAACCACTTTAACTCATTCAAGAGTCAAAAAAGAGAGGACCACCCTCACTCAGCTCTCAGCCTAAAGCATCAAATAATAACATTATACTTGTAGAAGACTCTTTCTGTTAGACAAACCACATGTGTTATTTAGGAAACAAAAAAGTTAGGTACCCCAGCTTATATTAGGTCTCAGTATATTAAAGGCTGTAGGTATGTGTTTTCTATTCTATTCCCATTTATATATTATGAAGATGTAACAAAATATAAAAAATAAAACTCTGCTTCCTTCATTGTTCACATAAATGGACATTTTCATTTGGCAATCTCCAAAAACATGCAGAATTATGTCCGTATGGCCCACTCCTGCTGAAGACGTGACCCTTCTTACTTAGCACAGCACATTCTGATTTCAGCCCCACGCCCTGTAACCCGACACACACTCATTATTTCAAAACCAAAGCTGAAAAATACATATCCCAACATTCCGCTGGTCTTTTTCACACACTTGTGTCCATAATAATCACGGGTTTGGAGGAGGAAGAGGCAGAGGAAGTGTCCCGGCTGGGAACAGGGACCAAAACAAGCGGAAGCAGTTTACGGAGGAAAAAACACAAGAAGCCAAAAATACCTCTGAGCAGAGATAGAGAGAACGTGAGGCTTCCTCAGTCAGTGGCACATCCTACTCAAGCTGCTCTGGAAATGTTCATGTCACACTAAGAGGAAACCATTATGCAAAATCTACACAGAGGTGCATCTGTTTTGATCTTTTCAAGTTCCAAACCGTGCCACTCCCTCTTCAGCACTACAGCTCCACAGCACTAATGTATATGTTTGTGTATTGTTTTGTAACTATGCAACTATCTGTGTCCTTTAATTCTTCCTCTGGGAAAAAAAAGAAAAAGGTAGATTGATTATTCATATTTGATAGTGGTAAATAAAGAATGATCACAAATAAAAGAAATTCTGGTACTGACATTCAGGGCTCTTCATGGTCAGGCGCCTGAGGTCCTCCACTCAGAACCTGTTAATGGTCCCCCGGCACTCGTTTCAAAACCGGAGGAGACAGATCCTTCCAGGCAGTTGCTCCTCACCTTTGGAATGAGCTTGCCCAGCGCAACTATGAGTCTGTTGATAATTTCGAGACTTCAACAACAGGACAGTTTTGAAAAATGAATATCACAGAACTAAGACCAGACCACCAGAGACCAGAATCTGCATCACTTGTCATCTTGTAGAATCACCACTTTCCCTCCTTTAATTAACTGTTGGTTAGGCTTAGGGTATGAGTTAGGGAATTAGATAATGGGCTACACTTGTAGGCCCTCGAAACTGATCTGTTCATGAAATCATAGTCTTAGTGTAATGAGTTTGAAAAGTGAGTATTTGAACAGAAGGGGTGGAGGATGTGTTTGTGCCAGAAGTTCCTGATATTAGTGTGGATGGAGCTAGAACTAACCATATGTCTACATTTGAGCTAAAAAAATCTAGAAATATATCAACTTTTAGCTTAGAATGAGTCTGGTGTGTGTTGGTTGGTGGTCGGAGGGGCCGATGGCACATACTGGTTGCCTTGCTTCTGTCAGTGTGCCCCAGGGCAGCTGTGGCTACAGTAACCGTCTATCACCACCGTGTATGGAGTGAAAGAATAATGACATGTGAAGCGTCTTTGAGTGTCCAAAAAAGCGCTATATAAAACCGATCCATTATTGTCTTCAACAAGCGAGGGCTGCTGAAAGAACACAATTTTTTCTTTCTTTTTTTTCCTTTTTCTTTTTAAAAACTAGATCCCAACCTCATTCTCCTCCTCCTCTTGTTCGTGCCTGGGCCTGGCTGCTAAACTCTCGCCGGTGCTAACTTTCTGGCATCTCCGTGGGTGAGATGGTGGATGCGAGCCGCGGTTGCTGAGCAGATTAACCAAAGCAGAACTATTCCGAGCCGCACGGCCACAACAAGCAAGGAGCCAGAGTCGGAGCGGCCAATCAGCACGCAGCAACTGTCGCACATGGAACACGGAAGAGATTGCAAATAAACACTGTGTGAAGACTGTCGGGCTGGTTTGGAGAACTGCTTTGAATGGCTGCATCTACAAGCATGAGTTTTCTGTGGGTTTGAGGACTAGCTTTCTTTTTTTCCAAAATCCTGTTTAAAATATTAGTTAGAAGTAAATACTTGGGTCAGTTGCACTTGAAGATACGTTCAGATTTGTAGTAGACCTGCACAATAGAATAATATGTGTCAAAACAGCAGAAAAATCAAGTTTGCCACCCCCTTTCAGGAAGCTTGCCAAAGGTTTTAGAAATAGACATATAAACCGATATACTGGAGATTTCAGATTGTATTATTAATTGTTTTGATTTATTATTGTAAATGCAACCTTACTTTGTGCACTATTAACAAATATGAGATGATAAATAATAAGGAGTAGCTCTCTGCCTTTTTTGTTTTGGGAAAGTAGGATTGGAGACATCTGTTCTATCTATGCAATGTGGATGAAGTGTCTTGCCTGAGGACTAGGGCTGAAACAACTAATCGATTAATCGATTATTGAAATAGTCGACAACTATTTTAGTAATCGATTAATCGTTTTCTAGTTCACATGGACTCAAACAGAGCAAAAATGACACGAAAATGTAGTATTTTTGATTAAAACCGACTTTGTTTTTATAATTTCATGAATATCTGTCTGTCTCATCCAATCAGATAGCAGAATTAGAACAAAGAGCCTGTTACAAACATTTACTTTAAGTTTACGCCATCAATACGTCCTCGAGTGTTGCCACTTTAGCTTTTTGTGATGAAAAAATTAATTTTTTCTACACAATTCACAGCCAAGCGATTACTCGATTAATCGTAAAAATAATCGATAGATTAATCGATAACAAAATAATCGTTTGTAGCAGCTCTACTGAGGACTTGACGACAGTTTGACATTTTACATCCACAGCCACCACACTATGGCACCTGGTGTTGCCAGAGGTCTCCCATCACAGTCCTGTGCCCTGCTTAGATTCAGAGGTCTGAAGAGATCTGGCATTCATGTGCAGGTGCCGCAAGTTTAAACTGATGTTCTCGTAATGTGTTAGAAAAAATATTTATTTTTGCATGTTTGCCTGGTGCCTCAACTTTTGATGATGAGCTTTTGATCATCAATTAATATCTTCTATCCGATGCTTTCCGATCATGGAAATGTTTGAATAATCTAAAAAAAATAATGTGTAAAGTTTGTTACTTTGCATTTTCATGAAAAGAATGTAAGACCCTATACCTATACCCATCATGCTGACCACTCGTACAGCTGTTGGGTTACTACAAAGTCAAATGAGCCAATGTGTGATTTTTTTCTCACATAAAAAGTCGCCTAAAGCCCCTGTAAAAGAGCTCACCATGTCAGATTATAAGAATCTGTGATGTCACTGCAGCACCCTCTGAAGCCTGTCACACGTGCGTCACCATCTCAGCGTTACAGTGCAGTCCGAGCGCGGAGCCAACTCTGGCCATAAGAGCGGAACCAAAACGAATACACGGTGACATCTTGTCGACCCGAGCCGGTGCCGTGACATTTTGACTCATGCCTTTTTAAGAGGAGTGGGTTTTAAATCAGCATCAGTGAACACTTAATCACTTGTGTAATGCAACAAGTGTAAATAATGACCCGATTCAAGATGCCAGAGGCTCACCCAACCCCACCCAAGAAATCACTGCTTCAAACTTTGGCAAGACTAGTACTAGACAAGTACTAGTCTTTCCATACATGGGACAAAGCGTCGTTTCCACCAGTCCAACTTGGATTGTGACAGAGGGCCATGTGAGCATCCTGACCAGAGCAGAGCCAGAGCGAGTTTCCCTGTCAGCTGAGGACAAGCTGTTTTAGATAACATTGAGGTCTATGGGTAAAAAGTGCTTACAGCCAAAATGAATTTAAGTTGCAGTGCTGCGGGTGACCTTTTGTCCATGTTGGAGACGGGTTTAATGTAGCAAACCCAATCCAGATAATATTATTCACCCAATTGTCCAGACCACCTGAAGAAAGAGTAAATCATTAGTAATTGTTTATGTACAATTGACATCTTAGACATCAACAGCAAGATGTGAAACAAGACCAAAAGTCATTCTCTATTCCTCATGATGTCATCACTAAAAACAATTCACTGGACCATGGTGAGAACACGTTCCATCACCGTGCTTGAGGATAGGGGCTTTATGTAACAATGTGGCATTACAGAAAAGGTGCTGACTATTGCTACTGTATGAACATACTGTACATACATGACCTGGTGGTCAGCTCGTACAGTATGTAGCTCCGTCCTTGTGAACCCGCTCCACCGTCTGCTGTGAAATGTCAGCTCCACGTGACCAGTGTTTTGCGGCGACAGCTCGTCTCCTCATGTCCCTCAGACACATGACTTTCACTGTAAAAATCAACACAAGTTACACTTATACAACGATTACACTGAAAATAAATACTAATTGATGTGCCATGAACCTCTTCAGCTACAGCCAACAGTGAAAAACAACTTGGTCTGAAAATACTATTAGAAAAGTATGCATTATATAAATTTGGATTTTAACATGATGCATTGTCTGTGTTTAACATTATCTTGAGAATATTTACTTTGGCATTTCATGTGAGGGAGAAGACTACTGTGACACGGCTCAAAATAATGTGGAAGAAATGAATGGATGGATGGTACATTTGAAATCTTTTGCATGAATCCGCCATATTCTGTCCTGGGTAATCTTAGTGTTTATTTTTGAGTGGATGATAGACTTGGCCTACTCCATTATATTCCGATTTCCTCCGGTTCTGGGTGTACTTTAGAAGACTTGCAGTGCCACAGTGTTGCAGCCACAAACCGGATTTTTTTTCATGTTTTACTTTGTTGTGGTTTTTCAGTAACCGACAACTGTGACGTATAAAAGCAAAATGATACACTATTTTGATAACTAAAAAGGGTGACCTGCATAATTGACCGTAAAGCATTCAATATTTTCATACAAACATTTCCCACGCTTTGACCATCTTTTAGACTACTTTTTAATCTGAGAATGTAAGGAGTATGGCACAACTGCAAATCTAACAAGACTCGGCTGTCTGCCCAAGGTCACACCTCGAACTGGGTGGAACTAAATAAAGGCAGGTATGATTTTTGAAGAGGAACGATGTCGTACCAAGGTAAAAACTCATAAGAGACCGTTTAATGAGTTTGGTGTCATCACAGAACATGTTTTGGATTCACTTATAATATTTGCCGTCACATCTTTCCACATTAGTCGTGAGTGTTTCTCTCTCGTGTCTCTCTGCTACTCAGCGCACAGCCTTCTGTTTATTAGTTTTACTTTTGACATTTTCCCAACACAAGGTCAAACTCAAACAATCCTTCAGCTGCAGAATGACCACCGCCGCTTTGGGCAAAACTCCTGCTGCGGCGTCGTCCATCTCTGTCATTGCATTTACCCACGAGCAAGAGGGAACATTTGACTTGATTGGACTCAAACATAGATAGTTTGGACAACTTTGTAAAATCTAAAATGTTGTGAACAAATTAGAACACAACATGCCATCTTCATCAAAGTGGAAAACATGTTCACTTTTGCGGACTCATGTGAAAGATCCCCGTGAGTCACCTTTTGACGTTTTGGGCTGAGTCAGGTTGACTTTTCAGATTTTTGTGTTTGAAAAAGCTGATCCAAGGATGTGACAGAGGCAAAAATATATGAATATTAAAACAAGTGATCAAACCGAACTGTTTCAGAGCCAGGAACTATGGATCTTTTTACCTTAGTGCCATTTTTTGGATGAAAATGAGGTACTTTTTAATTGCTAAAATGTGGAGTATGAGGGAAAAATGACTCCATCGATAAAGAGTTGATGACCAGTGTTGCAACTTATTATGAAAAAACAAAAAGCCTATCTGCTATACCAGTTAGCCCAGTTTACTTTTATTCTTTTATCGTTAAGTAAATAGCGGTTAGAACATTTTGACTTGCCGAGTTTCACCTTGTAAATACATTGACAACGTTTTTTTTTTTTCTGGTTTAAGGTCCAGCACAAACGCAGATATAGCCTAATATTTCAAAACACACAGACGAACCTTTCTCGCTCGTCGTTTGGGGGCCGCTGCAGAATCTGTCAGTCTTTGGCACAGGGCACTCGACACGTCCTGTTTGAGCTGACCTCGGAGGATATTCTGCCTGAAAAAGCAAACAGCGCGGGGCGATCGCCTGCCGCTCCAGGGCCTAGGAGAGGGGGGTGGAGGGTGGGGATTGGAAAGGGAGGGACACGGACCTGGGGATGTGTCCGCCGAGCTGTAGGAACCAGACCAAGGGGCCAAGGCTGAATAAACAGGCAGGGGCCGCGGAGAGCAGAGAGATGTGATTTACGAGCCACTGAAAAGAACTGTGATATTGGAATGGTTTTTGTGGCCAATATCAATCCTGTTCTCTGATGTCTGACAGGAAGGACTCAGGGATGGACAGCATTCCGAGGTATCGCTTTTGTGCTTGTGAGCCCCACGTTGGGGGGGACAGGGCGGTGTTTTTTGAGGACAAGTGGTGTATGAGAGTCACCGCTTTTGGCCGTGTTACTTGTCGTTTACTCACACACGGTTGTTTCTTAGACAAATCATTTTTGTTCTGAAACAATATTTTGTATTTAGTTATAGATCACCTTGTTCTGGTCTTTCTCTCTTCTCTCTCTCTGGTCCCTCTCTTTGGTCTCCCTCACATCTGCCTCTGGTCCCTCTCTAGTCTCTCTCTGGCCTCTCTCTGGCCTCTCTCTGGTCTCTCTCTGGTGCCTTTCTGATCTCTCTCTGGGCTCTCTCCCGGTCTCTCTCTGGCCTCTCTCTGGCCTCCCTCTGGTGCCTCTCTGTTCTCTCTCTCTGGCCTCTTTCATGTCTCGCTCTTTCTTTTGACTAAAATGACCTTAGTCTAGTTTTAGTATATATATATTTTTGTTGGAAGACATGGTCCTACCCTGGATCTTTTTCATATGGTATAAAAACTTTATAATGTAAGAACCTGCAGCTTTAATAAGAACGTTTTTTATGACTATGTCTGTTCTCCGAAGCAATAAACAGTCATTATCAAAAACACCTGTTTCTCTCAGCGTCAAATATTGACTCACAGGGCTCTTCCTTACAAATATACAAAATATTTCTGTTCAGACAAACATGTGAAGAGTTATTTTGCAGTTGGTAAACATTTAAAATCCCTACACTCGTTATAGCACATTTTGTGACTATATTTACTTTCCAAGTTTGGAGTCCTGGCTCATCTTAGTCCGCCAATCACCTCTCAGCACCGACACACAGGGCACTTTCTTGCAAGAATCTAATGTTTTCTAAGAAGATGAAGACGGCATGTTGGTGCCTCAGCTCTTCTTCCTTTGGCACATGGATCCACTTCAGTTCACTGCCGCCTTCTGTCTCCACCTGTTCAAACCCAAACAGTGCCGCAGAGACGCAGGAGCAAAGAAGAACTGGCCCCGGCATTTACCAAAGGAAAACATCTCCCAGGGCAAGAAGTGTTTTCACAGATTTGAACTTTGAAATAAGACATAATAGTGTTTTTAGTTTTAAAAACAGGATTAGTCCGTCATTGAAAATAGACCTGGTGTTTTTTGGATCCATCCAGAATAACATCAGGTACTTTTGTCAATACCAAACCCATCTGGCCGATATTTCTGATCTTAAGGAGTTTTTTGAGGGGAAAGGAGGTGTTTTTGCAGATGGAGCTCAAAACAGGACTGTTTTGCTGTGGGCACAAAGTTGTAGAACAGTTTTTTTTTTTTGTATCTGTTTTATCACAGTATAAGCATCCCATTAAGAGTTTTTGGGAGGAGATCTGAATGGCTGAGTGAAGGTGATCCTTTCTTTTTCACTTTTCTGCCTGAAAAAGTTGATCTGAAGATGTGACAGAAGCCAAAATACATGTGAAAACTTGTGATGGAACCAAACTGTTGCAGAGACAGGAACTAAATTGTCGTGGTTCTTTAACTTCACTGCAGTATTGTACTTTCCACATGACACTGTCAGTCTGTGTGTTGTCGTGTTCTCGCCTAAATGCCAGGTCATCGCTGGTGCACCGGTGTTAGCAGTAAACAGGAGTCACAGAAAAGAGAACAAGTTCCAAAACACAAACAGGATAAAACCATGAACGTGGACTGTGTTTGAGGAAAGGGGACGTCCTGTAGAATGTAAAGCAGTGGATCCATCGAGAGCAAAACAGTGAGGGAAAATGTTACAAATCTCACTTACATCCTTTAATCACATTGCCATCAGGACTGTGTCAAATGTCCACAATAGACATTATTAGAATCCACTATCCAAAGAATGAAAATAACTCATATTGCAACTTTCAAACTGCTCAGATAATGTTCAGAGTATCTGGTAAACCCGCCTTATTTACAGAACATATTCCATGATAGAATGCTCACCGTACATTTAGAACTATTTAGAAATCTGTGTTTCTCAGTGCGAGGAGCTACTCTGTGGAAATAATTAATTCATGAAATAAAATCCTCTTCATACATGATTAAACTTTAAAAATCATTGAAATATGAAGTTGTAACAATAATTATGTAGTGGATAAGTACATGGAGGAGTGAGAGTGATGCCCTCAGCAGAGAGCAGGTGAAGGGAGAGAGGTGTAGGGTCAGAGCAGAGAGTGTGTTTGGGCTGGTGTCGCATGTGTGTGTGTGTGTGTGTGTGTGTGTTGTCGATTCTCTAACAGGTGCCACTGTATTGTATAGGGCTGCAACTGTATTGTAAAGTGCCTGTTGCTGTGTCCTTAGGCAAGACACTTCACCCACATTGCCTAGAAGGAGTCTGGTGTGTGAATGGCAATGAACGAACACAGCCATTGGTCCACAGGGAGCAGGATGACCACTGTTCAGAAAGGTTTATAATGTCCGTAGATGTCGTGAATCATCACTGACCACCAGGAGTCAGGCCGTAGAACGAGGACTGAGGCATAAAGAGTGTTGAACAGGCATTTTTGCTCAAATGAAAGAATTTGCTGGTCGCTAACTTGATCTGCGGCCATAGTAAAGCCTACAGGGCCTTTAACGTGAGGTTTTTTCTGCTAATGATTTTAGTGATGTGTGAATTTGCGTCATATTACATGGTTTTAGATCAATATTGGGATCTGAAATGTTCCAAATGTATCACAATGAGCTCTTTATGCCTTTGAGTAGAAGCAGGAAAAGTTTAATCAAACACATTTATTCATCAATGTGCTTTACCCAGGCCCCGCAGAGCCCCCAGGTGAGTGATGATGTAGTGGCTGACGGTGTGTGATTGGCCAGAGAATCGAACATGCTGCTGAGCGCCGAGGCCCCGGCTGCCGTCCCGATCAAATACTCCAGAATCAGGTTCCAGCCGATGAAGAAGGCCACGAACTCCCCCACGGTGACATAGCTGTAGGTGTAGTCTGATCCCGTGGCCTACAAGACACGTCTACTTCACGACACGCCTCTGTCTTGCAGGCTTCTGACAGACCCTTCTCAAATATACATGTATGTCAAAACCGAAGATCACATTTGATTTGTCCTTGATATGACTTTCCTACAGAATAAACTCTTAGCCTCTGCCATATACAGTACTACACTGCCGTGTGCTGGGCCCCGGGCAGCACAGAGCGGGACAGAAGCAGACTGAACAAGCTGGTCAGGAGGGCCAGCTCCACTCTGGGCTGCTCCCTGGACTCTGTGGAGGAGGTGAGGGACAGGAGGCCCCTGGACTCTGTGGAGGAGGTGAGGGACAGGAGGACCCTGGACTCTGTGGAGGAGGTGAGGGACAGGAGGCCCCTGGACTCTGTGGAGAAGGTGAGGGACAGGAAACCCCTGGACACTGTGGAGAAGGTGAGGGACAGGAGGCCCCTGGACTCTGTGGAGGAGGTGAGGGACAGGAGGCCCCTGGTCTCTGTGGAGGACGTGAGGGACAGGAGGCCCCTGGACTCTGTGGAGGAGGTGAGGGACAGGAGGCCCCTGGACTCTGTGGAGGATGTGAGGGACAGGAGGCCCCTGGACTCTGTGGAGGAGGTGAGGGACAGGAGGCCCCTGGACTCTGTGGAGGAGGTGAGGGACAGGAGGCCCCTGGACACTGTGGAGAAGGTGAGGGACAGGAGGCCCCTGGTCTCTGTGGAGGAGGTGAGGGACAGGAGGCCCCTGGTCTCTGTGGAGGAAGTGAGGGACAGGAGGCCCCTGGACTCTGTGGAGGAGGTGAGGGACAGGAGGCCCCTGGACTCTGTGGAGGAGGTGAGGGACAGGAGGACCCTGGACTCTGTGGAGGAGGTGAGGGACAGGAGGCCCCTGGACTCTGTGGAGGAGGTGAGGGACAGGAGGACCCTGAACTCTGTGGAGGAGGTGAGGGACAGGAGGCCCCTGGACTCTGTGGAGAAGGTGAGGGACAGGAGGCCCCTGGTCTCTGTGGAGGAGGTGAGGGACAGGAGGCCCCTGGACTCTGTGGAGGAGGTAAGGGACAGGAGGCCCCTGGACTCTGTGGAGGAGGTGAGGGACAGGAGGCCCCTGGTCTCTGTGGAGGAAGTGAGGGACAGGAGGCCCCTGGACTCTGTGGAGGAGGTGAGGGACAGGAGGCCCCTGGACTCTGTGGAGGAAGTGAGGGACAGGAGGCCCCTGGACTCTGTGGAGGAGGTGAGGGACAGGAGGCCCCTGGACACTGTGGAGAAGGTGAGGGACAGGAGGCCCCTGGTCTCTGTGGAGGAGGTGAGGGACAGGAGGCTCCCTGGTCTCTGTGGAGGAAGTGAGGGACAGGAGGCCCCTGGACTCTGTGGAGGAGGTGAGGGACAGGAGGCCCCTGGACTCTGTGGAGGAGTGAGGGACAGGAGGCCCCTGGACTCTGTGGAGGAGGTGAGGGACAGGAGGCCCTTGGACTCTGTGGAGGAGGTGAGGGACAGGAGGCCCCTGGTCTCTGTGGAGGGGGTGAGGGACAGGAGGCCCCTGGACTCTGTGGAGGAGGTGAGGGACAGGAGGTGGACTCTGTGGAGGAGGTGAGGGACAGGAGGCCCCTGGTCTCTGTGGAGGAGGTGAGGGACAGGAGGCCCCTGGACTCTGTGGAGGAGGTGAGGGACAGGAGGCCCCTGGACTCTGTGGAGAAGGTGAGGGACAGGAGGCCCCTGGTCTCTGTGGAGGAGGTGAGGGACAGGAGGCCCCTGGACTCTGTGGAGGAGGTAAGGGACAGGAGGCCCCTGGACTCTGTGGAGGAGGTGAGGGACAGGAGGCCCCTGGTCTCTGTGGAGGAAGTGAGGGACAGGAGGCCCCTGGACTCTGTGGAGGAGGTGAGGGACAGGAGGCCCCTGGACTCTGTGGAGGAAGTGAGGGACAGGAGGCCCCTGGACTCTGTGGAGGAGGTGAGGGACAGGAGGCCCCTGGACACTGTGGAGAAGGTGAGGGACAGGAGGCCCCTGGTCTCTGTGGAGGAGGTGAGGGACAGGAGGCTCCCTGGTCTCTGTGGAGGAAGTGAGGGACAGGAGGCCCCTGGACTCTGTGGAGGAGGTGAGGGACAGGAGGCCCCTGGACTCTGTGGAGGAAGTGAGGGACAGGAGGCCCCTGGACTCTGTGGAGGAGGTGAGGGACAGGAGGCCCTTGGACTCTGTGGAGGAGGTGAGGGACAGGAGGCCCCTGGTCTCTGTGGAGGGGGTGAGGGACAGGAGGCCCCTGGACTCTGTGGAGGAAGTGAGGGACAGGAGGCCCCTGGACTCTGTGGAGGAGGTGAGGGACAGGAGGCCCCTGGACTCTGTGGAGGAAGTGAGGGACAGGAGGCCCCTGGACTCTGTGGAGGGGGTGAGGGACAGGAGGCCCCTGGACTCTGTGGAGGAGGTGAGGGACAGGAGGTGGACTCTGTGGAGGAGGTGAGGGACAGGAGGCCCCTGGTCTCTGTGGAGGAGGTGAGGGACAGGAGGCCCCTGGACTCTGTGGAGGAGGTGAGGGACAGGAGGCCCCTGGACTCTGTGGAGGAGGTGAGAGACAGGAGGCCCCTGGACTCTGTGGAGGAGGTGAGGGACAGGAGGCCCCTGGACTCTGTGGAGGAGGTGAGGGACAGGAGGGTGCTAGTCAAAGTCACCTCCATCATGAACAACACCTCCCACTGCACAGGACTGTAGAGGAGCTGAGGAGCTCCTTCAATGGAAAAAGCAGCAGGGCCTTCATCCCCACTGCTGTCAGACTGTACAATAAGTCAATCTAAGTCACTTGCATTAGGACTGAAAAAACCTGCACTTCTTTTTTTGTACATAATAAATCCTGCATTCAAAGTGTTGCACATTTCTTTCTTTTGCACAGTCTGAGTGTTTCTGTCCATGCCAGATGTGACATGTCCATTTGTCCAGTGTGAGATCAATAAAGTCTATCTTATCTTATCTTAAATGTAGTTCTACAGTTGATTATACAATATAGTTAAACCTGTGCTAAACTGTTTGTATTTTAAACGTATACAATGTCAAGAATAACACACCACATCTCTACTCTTTAGCCATTGTTCTCAAAACACAGCGAGCCTGTTTGGGGATTGATCCCACATCTTTGGCATTATTAGCAACACGCCCTTTCCAACGGAGCTGATCAGCCTTTGTATCTTCAGAGAAACTTGTGATCAAAAACAAATTTTTCAATTTTTGAGTGCAATGTGCATTCATCAAACCTCAAGTTCTCTTTATGTATTTTCATAGTTTAAGAATCTATCTTTATCTCATTTTTATTATGAACAAAGGTGAGCAGTGACTTCTAGACATATCATATCAGGAGCTGCAGAAATTAAATGCTTATCTCACAATGTCAATAACTTTCCAATTGCACCTGTTTTCCTTTGGCATGATCTTGTTGATAATCAAGGTGGGGGCTTACCATAAAAAACATGCAGTAAATAAAAAAATGACCTAAAGAACCCTTACGCGTTTTTGATGCTATGTGCACTTCATCCCAGTTCTGTGTTCACTTGACTGGCCCTTAGTTTCTTCACAAATCACATTCAAAGCTCTTGAGTTAGCAGTCATTTTTAATTAAATTTTGTTAATTTTTTACTTATTTTGTAATTATCTTGTGTGCTCCATTCATATCTATTATAATTTTCGTAATTCATTTCCTTTATTTTCAATGAGGATTCTTTGCCAACATTTAAAGTAGCTGAAAAAAATTGCCACGGCAACAGAAGCTTGGAACGTTCTATCATCATGGCAACAGTGGTTCCATTGGAATCATTACGTCATCAAAGCTAGGGTCTGCTGTGTCTGTGTGTGTCTGTCCGTGATTCGTGAATATAGTCAAACAAAAAACGGACTAAACGGAGTAAACAAAGTAAACGGAGTAAACTGAGCAAAATGGCGTGTTTTAGAAGGCAATCGAAGAAAGACAAGCTGATTGAAAAGCTTGAAGACGACGTGATGGTGTTGCAGGAAAAACACAAGAGTCTTTTGGAGGACCTGCAGAGGGAGAAGATGCATAGGAATGAGATGGAGAAGACTCAACTGGAAGAGCGTCGCCAACAAGAAGAGCAAGTGATCCAGCTCCAGACAGAGAGGTCTGCCTTGGAGACTGCTCTGCTGCAGGCGGAAAGGAGATCTACCTCTACTCAAGAAAAACTGGATTCTACCATTCAGGAGAAGACAGCACTCCAAGAGGAACTGCAACAGGCCCATGAGGACAGTGAAGCCTTGGACATTGCAATTAAAACGTCTGCTAAAAAGACAGACGCATTGATTGGAGATCTGCAGAATGAGCGTCGTCAACAGCAGGAGCAAGTGAGCCAGCTCCAGACTGAGAAATCTGTCTTTGAGACTGCCCTAATGCAGTCAGAGAAAAACTCTACTTCTATCCAAGACAGACTGAATTCTACCATTCAGGAGAAGACAGCACTCAAAGAGGAACTGCAGAAGGCCCATGAGGACAATGAGGCCTTGGACATTGCAATGAAGACGTCTGCTAAAAAGACAGACACAGTGATTGGAGATCTGCAGAATGAGCTTGTGCAGGTCAAGTCTGAGAACAATAAGACAACAGACTGCCTGAAATCTCATATACAAGAAGGCAACCGTTTCATAGACAGCCTCAAGACCCAGATGCAGGACAGAGAGACGGCAAATACCCGTTTGGAGGAAAGTCTGGCAAGCACCCAAAAGGAGTTGAAGGAATGTAGCACAAATTTCCTTCTAAAAATCTCTGAAATTGCCAAGATGGAGGCGGAGAATGGGAAACTCTCAGCTCTGTGTCAAAGGTTCAAGACAAAAATACTGGACATGGAACAGCAGCTGAAAAACTTGCACGCTGCGTCGGAGAAAAGACTTCTTGTGGCCCAGGAAAAATCCAAAAATGAGGTGGAGGATGTCAAGAGGAACTGTGAACACTCCATTCAAGAGCTGAGCAAGCAGGAGGCCAACGCAAACCAGACAATTAAAGAGTTGAAGGCCAAGCTCTTGTGTCTGGAAAAGCATTCTGAAGACATGAAGAAAAAGTGGGAGGAAGAATGCAAGGAGGTGCAGAGGATGAAGCAAAGTCATCAAGAAAAGATTCCGCCAGTCGCTCTGACCAGGAGCTACCTCTTGCGGCCGGGCGGAGAAGAGGACCACACAGAGAGAACCGCTGATGTTCTGGTAATTGGCAGCTCTATTGTAAGAGATGTCGAGATCCCAGGGGCCACTGTTCTGTGCTACCCTGGGGCCAGGATGGGTGACATCGAGGGGAATCTGAGGGTCCTGAACCAAAACAAGCAGCGTTTTCGTCTAGTCGTCGTTCACGCGGGTGGCAATGACGTAAGGCGGAAACAAACAACAGCAGAGATGTTGAAGGTGCAGGTTGCCGCCGTTTGTAATCTGGCGAGCACAATGGCGGACACGGTTATCTTTTCTGGTCCCCTTCCTAGCACCGGCAGTGAAGAAGCATACAGCAGCATGTTATCTTTCCATCGCTGGCTGTCTGGTTGGTGCCCTCAACATGGTGTTGTCTTTGTTGACAACTGGAGCACCTTCTTGGGAAAGCCCGGTCTCATGCGCCCGGATGATGTCCACCCAACATTGAAGGGTACAGCCCTTTTGATCAAGAATATGGAAATGACTCTAAGTTCTCTGACCCGCTCAAATGACAGTCCGCCACAACCTCTGAGTTCCCACCAGAGAAGAAGAAAAAACCTCAGAGTGCAACGCTGGTAAAAACACAACAAGGACAGAAACAAAAACCGAAGAAGACACCAATACCAACAAATTCCTTTAACTCCAAACTCCCATTACCTAAAGTCTGATAGAACTTTTACACAATGACAACAGAGACTTCCACATAGCAAATTCAAAAGTTAAATTCAGATCCCTACTCTGCAAAAGGATTTGTAAGCACTCTTTTTATATACAGCTTATCTTTTGTTAACCTGCATAAATAATTTTCAATACTTTTTTTGTTCTAAAAGAGCACCTTTATGACCCTCTGGGTGGGTCTGGTTACCTGTCCTGCTTAAGTTAACCCGAAAAGAAAGCGTTGGCTACAACTTGAAGACCAGCTATTCGGAGATGACTGCCAAGCTGTAGATGCTGACTCCCTAAACACGTCACGTCACAAAGGATACTTTTCAATCGCCATTTTCTAGTTCATGACCAACAAGGCACTGTCTCTGTTTTGGATCTTTTTCCAAGATTACTTGACACACCAGATTTAGTAAGTATACGTTACTTTTTGCTTTATTATTCCCACTTCAGTCATAATATAGTATATATACAAAAGTTTTGACTCTTAATGGTCGATCCTCGGTTATCAAACCGAGGATCCTCGCTGAAAGTCTGGTAAGTTTCTGCTTTGCTAGAATAAAAACCGGATCTCCAGGATGGAGCTTTAGTATAGCCTGTAATGGGCATCGCCACACGCTGAATTGTCTTTAATAAATTAATCTGTTATTGTAACATACATATCTGTTTTTGTAACACTTTGTATTTTCCAGGATGGGAGAGCGACATGTCCAGGACTTTGCTGTTCGTCACTTGCTTCCACCAACTCCAGAAGGATAAACGATGTGGCAAGTGGAGCTCACCTCAAGCTATCGACCTTGTTAAATATCTGCAGGTACGTTGGTAATATCGAAAGAAACATTCTTTTAAGTTCTGTATTTGTGTATTTTTTTGTTTCCTTTTTTACCATTTATATCTATTTTAAGTATGTGTAAAAAGTAACGATCCTCATTATTTTACAGATTGGAGCCTTGACTCTTTTCTTGCTGGGGTGGAGCCTGGACAACCGTTGCTTTTTGTGTTGGTGATGGGAAGCACGACATCCAGATGTTCTACATGGTCGTTGACCATAAGGTGCTCCATACCAGCCACAAACACTTTCTGCAATGAACTCTTCAAGGTGCACTTCATCTTCAGTTTGAACTGTGTAAAGTCGCTCAAAAACTTTTAAATCTACAAACAAACAACGGTCTACAACATAGACTTTGGACAAGTGGAGGAAAACCCCAGTGTCAAAGAGCTCAGAGCAAGGATCCAAAATGCGGAGCTCCAAGGAATCATCTAAGAGTCTGGACAATGTTTCTGTTCCTTCTGCAAAGGACAACATTCCAGTTCTGCAGCAACATTTAAGGCACAGTCATGGACTATATCCACACAAACATTTGAGAATCAGTTGTGGACATTTGCCGGCTTTAAAAGGCATCTAGCCATTCGTCATAAATGTTAGTTAAAATCTATAATCTAGGCTGTATGGATAAAGTGATACAGGGATATTTATGATGGTTCATTTAAATCGCATGAATTATTCTCATAATCAAAGCTGCTCTCCAAATTCAACTTTATTATGACGGGCGGCACGGTGGCTGAGTGAATAGCACTCTCGCCTCTCAGCAAGAAGGTCCTGGGTTCGATTCCTGGTCGGAACTGAGCCTTTCTGAGTGGAGTTTGCATGTTCTCCCCGTGTCTGCGTAGGTTTCCTCCGGGTGCTCCGGTTTCCCCTACCACTAAAAATATGCCCATTATATAGTATCATTATCTAGAGATGGGTTCCTGGGCGCTGTTACTACGGCGACCACTGCTCCCCATCAGGATGGGTCAAATGCAGAGAACTAATTTACATTTAGAGACTAATCATTTGGGTTCAAAGAAAGGGATACACAAACTAGGTGCTACAGTGAGGCGGCTGTAAACTTGTCGTTGTGCCCTTAGGCAAGACACTTCACCCACATTGCCTTGTGTGAATGTTGTGCGTGTGAATGAGGTGGTGGTAGGAGGGGCCGATAACAGGCAGCCTCACTAGGAGCAGTTTGCCTCAGGGCAGCTGTGGCTAGTAGCTCACCACCACCGTGTGTGGGATGAATGGTTAGTGTGACGTGTTGCATGCAATAGGAAGCAGTGTTTCCAATCGGATGCAACAGTTTGAGAGAATAGCACTTTAGTGTCATGACGGGCCCTTTAAAATGCAAATGATTTGGTAATAATGGCTCCAATAATAGGTTAGTGTAGTTTTCTTGCTATCGAGAGGATGTGGGTCCACAGGCCTGAGTTCTATCAGTTCCTGTTGACCCTGTGATCTTAAGGAACCTGCAAGACTTTTAACAGGAGTGGGAGCTGTGCTGTGAAATTTGACTTTCAGTAAAATACAAATAAAAATTATGTTAAACCAATCAATGTCTGTATACTCAACTCAACTTTTTATTCAAAACTCCTGGGCTCACCAATGACGAACATATTACCAACTTTTACCTTCCAAAAGTGACTCATTAAGTGGGTTTTGGTGAAGAATCGTTGGTGCGATGACAGCTTCATCATCAGTCATGTATTTTTACAGATTTACTTCTGAAACTTAGAGGAAACATAACTTTTCAGTGGTTTTGCCCATGTTTCCCCTCCTCATCATTCCACAACAATTTGTTATTTATTCACCAAAATTCTGTTCTTCAGCGGTGGTAGTTTCTCAAGCCTAGTTTCTCAAGCCTCGTTTATACTCGCGCGGCACGGAGCTTACGGAGGTGGCGTGACGTCACTTGCGCAACGCGTTGGTTACCGCAAGGCCCTTACGTCGCCTGCCGCGCAGCATCGAAAAATTTTAACTACGTAAGGGTCGCCGCAAGGAAGCTCCGCTGTGATTGGTCCGTGTGTGTGTATTGGAAGGAAGCACGGAGCGGCTGCAGCAGGGACATGGACGAGGCACTATGGAGCAGACTGCTTTGTGCTTCGAAGGAAAAGCAGTTTGGGCTCAGAGCCTGATATACAGGAGACTGTGGACTATCTAACATATATATATAACTTATAAACTGTGCAGTCGTTTGTTTTGCACTGTTCCTGTCTTGTTTGAATCGTAGCTGCGTTTGTTGCTTTCCTCCTGTACTCGTAAATCGTTCATGTTTGTCTCAGATATTTACCACTATTATTGTTTTGCTGTTTGTGCTGAAAACTATTTAATAATAACTATGTTTCCAACAAGAACTGTGTCTTTATTCACAGCATCACAGTTGAAATGACTTATAAAATAATGAATCCATAAAACTATCACATAAACCTACAGTAGAAACACGTGTAATGAGCTCAAACAGCTTTGTTTGCTATTGTTGTTCTGAAGAGGACAAAGCAGCTGCGTAAATGGGACCGCTCCAGTGTGATCGCCCTCATGTGGTTTGTTGTGGGATTACAACATTCTCCTCAAAACTCCGTAAGGGGAACGCGCCAGTATAACATCAATTGTGCTTACGTAGGTCCACCGCAACCGCTAACGTAAGCCACGCCGCGCAAGTATACACTAGGCTTCAGTGTGTTTTTTTCCCCAAGAAAGAAAGAATTGCTGATCACGAAGCCCCAAGTGTTTAACACTTCATGATTTCAATCATTTCTGTCATGTGGAGTGAAAAAAACAAAATGGAAAACTCCAAAATAATAGTTTTATCAAAAAGTAATACAAATCAAGATCTAGCAAAAGCATCACAAAAGGTCACCAAACCCGGAACAAGGAAAAGAACTGACACAGACGAGGAACGACAATGACAGAACAGGGAGTGAAGGAACACACGGGGCTAAATGCAAGATTTGGCCACAAGCCTGGACCACGTACAGTACGTGCCTGTGCCCACGCAGCGGCCCACGCAGCGGCCCACGCAGCGGCCCACGCAGCGGCCCACGCCCAGAGAAGTTGGAAGTTGAAACATTGTCTGTGTATGGACATTTTACAGTTAAATTGATAACAGCAGGATTGAAATATGAGAGAAAATGACTTAGATCGAGCTTGGGGCGAGATGAGTATAAATGACGGTGTGTATGTGTGGGGCTAAACATAGCTAAAAACCTGACAGTGTTATGTGTGGGGCTGAAAGTTGCTAAAAACCTGACAGTGTGTATGTGTGGGACTGAAAGTAGGTAAAAACCTGACAGTGTGTATGTGTGGGGCTAAAAGTTGCTAAAAACCTGACATTGTGTATGTGTGGGGCTAAAAGTTGCTAAAAACCTGACAGTGTGTATGTGTGTGGCTAAAAGTAGCTAAAAACCTGACATTGTGTATGTGTGGGACTGAAAGTAGCTAAAAACCTGACAGTGTGTATGTGTGCGGCTAAAAGTAGCTAAAAACCTGACAGTGTGTATGTGTGGGGCTAAAAGTAGCTAAAAACCTGACAGTGTGTATGTGTGGGGCTAAAAGTAGCTAAAAACCTGACAGTGTGTATGTGTGGGGCTAAAAGTAGCTAAAAACCTGACAGTGTGTAAGATTGGGCATCACAAGTATAGCAATACCTGCTAAGTCCCCAGAAGTATAGTAACAGTCTGGTGTGGGACATTGTTTGTGAAATCTTGGATTTTGAGGTGATATTACTGTTCAAGGCCTCCAGGGGGCCATGCCTGATTTTTTTGGCTGCTGTAAACCCTACAGAAAGGCTGGGTCCCACAATGCATGTCCTGGTCTGGTGGTCCCACAAGATGATAAAGACAAGTATGTGTATGTGTGTGTGTGTGTGTGTGTGTGTGTGTGTGTGTGTGTGTGTGTGTGTGTGTGTGTGTGTGTGTGTGTGTGTGTGTGTGTGTGTGCACTTGTTTTCAACTCCTAGTGGGTTCCATAACCTGAGATTCCACTCACGTCATGGGGACTGGTTTTACGTGGTGGGGCCCGAACACCGGACCCCACTGGTCCAAGCTTAATAATCAATGGGTAATGCTTTTCTAACGGTCCTTATGCAGTCTCTGTAAAAATATGGAAAGGACCCCTGGAGGTTTACTTTCCTGAAAAAAGTGTGTTATGTGTCGGAACCCTGGTGGTGGGTTGCGGGATATCAGGAGGGGCACACTGGGGCAATTTCAGTCCAGCAGGCTGGAGCCAATCATGGAGCAGCACAACAGAGGAAGTCAGGTGAAAAGGTGCAAGTGTGTGGTTCATTAGGCTGCAAGACATCATGGAGGAGCACACTGAAGCGCACGCTTACAACCCACTGGTAAGTGCTGACTACAAGTCATGACTTCAAATTGTTATATAGAATTATTACAAATTATTTGTTGTTTGTGCAGCTTAGTCAAGAGTCCCTAATTGATGAAGTCGACTCAGATTCTGACGATTTAACTGTCAAGAAGAAACCTGTAAAAAAGTATGGAAAAAGAAAAATCAAAAACACTTTTCTTCAAGACTCGGAAAGTGACGAACCAAAGGCAAATAAGATTGTTATCATGCAGCTGCAAAAGAAGAAAAATGGGGGCAGGGTTTACAGCAAGAGACACTTCTGCCTCTACTGTTCAATGTCCTGCCACAAAATGTCCCGTCATTTGACTAGAAAACATGGAAATGAAAGTGACGTAGCCAGAGCATTGGCTCTACCTGTGAAATCTAAAGCACGTAAACTTCAGTTTGATTTGATCAGGAATAGTGGAAACCGTGAGCACAATTTTGAGGTTTTAAAGGCCGGCATTGGAACTTTAGTCCCAGCTAAACAGCCAAATTCCCCAGTTAAATCCAGTGAGTTTTTGCACTGTATAGACTGTGGGGCATTGCTTAAGCGAAAGTCGCTGTGGAGGCATGTGGCCAGGTGCCGGCTTTCACAGAAAGATGCCCAGGCTAAACCAGGTAGAAGTAGGGTCCAGTCCCTCTGCTCCCTAGCCCAGCCTGTACCGGAGGGCATCAGCAAAAAGCTGTGGTCTTTAATTTCGGCAATGCATCAGGATGAGGTCACGGGTGTTGTCAAAGCAGAAAAGGGGATTCTGAGACTCGGAGAGCACCTGTACTTAAAACACGGGCATGATAAGACTAAGCATGATTACATTAGGCAGAAAATGAGAGAAGTCGGTAGGTTAATTAACGAAGCAAAAACTGCAGGGAAACTGAAAACAATTAAGGATTTCTTTATTCCTTCCAACTTTAACCATGTGATTGATGCAGTCAGGTCTGTGGCTGGATATGATGAGGAAACAAATCAATACAAGACTCCATCCTTGGCCCTCAAACTCGGCCATAGCCTCAGAAAGCTAGCAGATATTCTTGAATGTGACTCAAAAATGGAACATTGTGTTGATGAACTATTTATTAAAAACCTCCAACGAAGCCGGCTGCTTTTTGAGAAGAGGTGGGACGTCTGTGTTTCTTCTGCTGCCCTACAGACCCTCCGGCAAGCCAAGTGGAACACTCCGGACCTGCTCCCTCTGACTGAGGACGTTAGAGCCATGCATGCACATATTGAGGTATGTCGACCTGAATATGTGCAAACCCTAATAAGTGAGCCAACGTCTAAGCATTGGTCTAAACTGGCAGTTTTGACTCTTTGTGAGGTCATCATTTTCAATCGAAGAAGGGAAGGTGAGGTTTCAAAGATGCCACTGACAGCCTTTACCTTAAGAAGTAAGACTGGGATCCATTCTGACATTGCTCTGGGACTGTCCCAACTTGAGAAAAAGCTGTGTCAGCATTTTCAACGCATTGAAATTAAAGGGAAAAGAAGTCGGAAAGTGCCGGTTCTTTTGACTCCTGAAATGATTGCTTCGATGGAGGTGCTGGTGGAGAACAGAAGGGCCTGTTCCATCTCTGACCATAACCCATACTTCTTTTCCCGCCCGGGCGCAGACACCCACATCAGGGGATCAGACTCCCTACGCCAGGTAGCCAAAGAATGTGGTGCGGTGCATCCAGAGATGCTATCCTCAACCAAACTTAGAAAGCACATAGCTACTATGTCTACAGTTCTCAATATGAAAGAGAATGAGATGGACATACTTGCCAACTTCCTCGGCCATGACATTCGCATCCACAGGCAATATTACAGACTACCAGAGGGGACACTGGAGCTGGCCAAAATCAGCAAAGTGTTGATGGCCATGGAGCAGGGAAGAGTGACGGAATTCGAAGGAAAGAGCCTCGACCAGATACAAATTGAGCCTGAAGGTAATTCTTGATATTATTAAAATATGTATGATTTTTTTCCCCTAAAGGCCACTTGTATTTTTATTTTCTGTGCGACAGGGAGAGCAGTAGAGATCCTCTCACAAACGGACGGGCTAAAAGAAACTTCAAGCGGAGAACCTTCAACCATTCATCCAGATGCACCCCATGGTAGTGGCAGTGCCCCTTCTGGTAAGTGTACCAGGTGGGGGATTACAGCCAGGCTGCTTGGTCCTAACCCTGGGAGTGTATATTGCTAATATATTTTTATTTCTCTCCCTAGAACGTGTAAGAAAGCCATGGTCTGCATCTGAGGTGAAGGCTGTGGAGAAGACCATGACACCTTTCATACAGACTGGAAAGGTCCCTGGGAAGTCTCACTGCCTGGCCTGCATTAATGCCTCACCAGATGACCTTAGACATCGGACATGGAGTGGCATTAAATTCTATGTCAAAAATAGAATCACTGCAATTCGAAAACAAAATCTAAAATAAAATTCCTTTAAAATAGTTGTTTGGTTTCTATTGACTGTTTTGTATTACTTAAAGTAGTCCCAGTAAAAAAAGATTATGTCTATGGGTCCCATTCTGAACGGCCCTGTCAAAGGGACCCACCAGGTAACAAAAACGTGTATGTGTGTGTGTGTGTGTGTGTGTGTGTGTGTGTGTGTGTGTGTGTGTGTGTGTGTGTGTGTGTGTGTGTGTGTGTGTGTGTGTGTGTGTGTGTGTGTGTGTGTGTGTGTGTGTGTGTGTGTGTGTTTTTTCCTATGATGTTGGTTTTGTTGAAGGCTGCAGGAAGAAAAAGCAGAAATTGAGATTGTTGCTTTGAGGTCGGAGCTAATAACATCTATTATAATGAAATGGTTATTGAAAAGAATTGAAAGCATTGGTTAAAAGAGGCTTTGAAGGTTTGATACAAAAATGCAACAGAACTGAGGCTAAAGTGTGGCAGAACATCCATTGTAAACAGTATCCACCTCCGCCAGCTCATCTGGGGGAATCCTGAGACGTTCCCAGGCCGGCTGAGAGACACTGGGTCTTCCCCTGGGTTCCTCCCAGTGCGACATGCCCAGAATAAGCAGCTCTACTCCGAGCTCCCCCAGTGTGACTGAACTCCTTTATCTCTAGGGAACCTGCGATTTCTTCCTTTCAATCATTACGCAAAGCTCAGGGCCTCTCTGGTCGCTCTCTCTGGTCGCTCTCTCTGCTGCTCTCTCTCTGGTCGCTCTCTCTCTCTGGTCTCGCTCTCTCTCTCTGGTCGCTCTCTCTCTGGTCGCTCTCTCTCTGGTCGCTCTCTCTCTGGTCGCTCTCTCTCTGGTCTCAGTCTCTGGTCCCTCTCTCTGGTTCCTCTCTCTGGTTCCTCTGGTCCCTCTCTCTGGTCCCTCTCTCTGGTCCCTCTCTCTGGTCCCTCTCTCTGGTCCCTCTCTCCGTGGTCTCTCCGTGGTCTCTCCGTGGTCTCTCCGTGGTCTCTCCGTGGTCTCTCCGTGGTCTCTCCGTGGTCTCTCCTTGGTCTCTCTCTGGTCTCTTTCTTGTTTCTGTCTGGTTTCTCTCTGGTCTCTCTCTCTGGTCTCTCTCTCTGGTCTCTCTCTCTGGTCTCTCTCTCTGGTCTCTCTCTCTGGTCTCTCTCTCTGGTCTCTCTCTGGTCTCTCTCTCTGGTCTCTCTCTCTGGTCTCTGGTCTCTCTCTCTGGTCTCTCTCTCTGGTCTCTCTCTCTGGTCTCTCTCCGTGGTCTCTTTCTCTGGTCTCTCTCTGGTCTTTCTCTGGTCTTTCTCTGGTCGTTCTCTTGTCTTTCTCTCTAGTCTCTCCCTGGATTCTCTCTGGTCTCTCTTTCTGCTCTGAACGCGTGGATCTCCCGTCCCTCACGCTGCCCACGCCGACCTGTCCCCCCCCCGCCGCCCCCCACCGCAATCCCGCCCGTAGGAGGTAACCCCCCCCCTGGCCCACGGGAACCGCTCCCCCCCCCCCAGCATGCCCGCGCGCCCCCCCTGCCCCTTCCAAGCGCCGGGTTACCCGCAATCCGCCTACCAGCCCTTGCGCTCGGCCCCCCACCCTCCCCCCCTCACCCTCGCCCCGCCGCCCTCGACTGCAGTGAGAACCCCCGGCCGGGGGGCGAGCCCCCCCGGTGCCCTCTCGCCACCACCCACCGTGTGGCCGTCACCCGTCGCCCCCTTCGCCCCCAGGTCACGCCCCCCAGACTGGCGTGTGGCCCCCCCGGCCATGCAGCCGCGACGTCCCCCCCCCCGTGCCCCCGCGGCGCGTCGCACCTAGAACCCCCCCCGCTGCCCGCCCCCGCTGGCCCAACTGCGCCAAGACGGCCCGCGGCCCTGGTCGATTGCCCGCCCCGTAAGAGGCTCTCTTCCAGAGTGCACGCTCGGGGCGCACCACAAATACACCCCCCCACCACAGAAAAACGAAGGCCCCCCCGCGACTGACTGCCCAACACAGCCCCCCTCGCCCCGGAACGCCCGCCCAGCTACCCGGTCCTCCTGTACTGCGGTACCGGTACCGCCCCCCACCGGAGCAGGGAGCGATCCCCTGCCGCACCCCGAGCCGGCTCCCTCCTCCCCGGGGGGGGCGCGACAGGCCGACCCCGCGGAGGTTCACGCCCCCCGCGCGATCGCGCCCCGCATCCGCCTCCCCCGTGGGCCGCCACTGCCGCCCATCCGCGGCGCTTCCCCGATGCCCTCCCCTTCGGTGTGGGTGGGGGGGGCGCGCCCCGATGCCCCGTCGCCCCGGAGCGCGTGTCACTCCGTCCGCAATCCCCCCTCCCTCGGCGCCTCCGCCCGCCCCGCCTAGCCCGGTCCCCCGCTGGTGCCCCGCGTGGCCCCCCCACCGCGCGCGCCTGCCCCGTCCGCTGAAGCCCGTGAGTCCGGGACCCCTCCCCCCCCCCCGCTCCGCCTCGCCGCGGGGGAGGGGCTCCCGTAAGACTCTCACGGAAACCCCACGTCTGGCCCCCATCCGGACCACGACACGCGAGCCCCTACCGCCACCGCTACCGCGGCACGTGAAAAAACGCCGCTCCCCCCCCCCCACTACCGGGTTCCCACCGCGCTGCCGCGGCCGGCCCCCGGCGCCCCCATGGTATGCGCCCGGGCCGGCCCCGCCCCCACTCCCCCCAGGGCCCGACCGCGCCACGCCCTGCCCCTCGGCCCGCCCCCGCGGGCGACCCATGGTCACCGCACCCAGGTGTGCCGAGCGCCCCGGCTCGCCGAAACGTGACCCCGCACACGTAAGCACCGCCCCCCCTCGTGCGGCGGGCGGTACGCCCCTCCCCACCCGACCCCCCCCGCTCGCCCTCCCTGCCACCGCTGCGCCTTCCGACCACCCCCTGCGCTCGGCAGGGGCCCGGCCCGGAGGCTCTCGTCCCCGCCTGTTCTGGTGGGGCCCCCCCGCTGGTGGTGGCGTCGGGCCCGTCTGGGCCCGCCGAGGTGCCACGGGCCGACCGGCCGCGCCCCGCGGAGAGGACACACGTGCCGCCGCGCGAGGCTAGTTGCCGGGGGACAGGGTCCCACCCGCCCCCCCCGGGGGCAGCCGCCCCGCACAGCGTGGTGCCCCGGCCCCGCCGTCCCAGCGCCCGGCCCATCCCCGAGCACCTCCGGGGCGGCCCCCAGCCCCGGCGACCACCGGCCGCCGGCAGCGACAGCCCGCGCAGCCGACTGGCCCCCCCTCGTCTGACGGAGCTCCCCCCGGCCCCCCCCGCCCGGGGTCGCCCCCACGCCCCCGGCCCCAACCGCCACGGGCCCGCCTGCCGCGCGCGTCCCCACCCCCCGTGCTTGAGCGACCCCCGGCCCCCCCGTCCCCCCGGCCCCGTCGGCCCCCTGGTCCACACCGGGGCGCCCGATCGCGCTACCCCCTCGTCCCCTCCGCGCTGTCAAGCATGCAGGGTGCCTCCCACCCCCGGGCCCCCTCCGCTACGCTTGGGGGGTGCCGCCGCTCGCGCCATCGCCCCCGCCACACCTACCCCGGCCGCGCCGGGCGCTCGACTCCCGACCCCCACCAAGCACTCAACCAGCGCCGGCCAGCCCCGGTCAGTCCAACGCACAGAACACGCGGGGGGACGACGCGCCCCGTCGCCCCACCGGGGGTGGGGGTGGGAGTCACCCACCCACAGGCGCCTGCACAAAACTGGCGCCCCAGTCACACCCGACCCTCCCGCGCAGGGCGCCACCACTTGTCCCACCCCCCCGCGAAGCCGGCCGCGCCCCCCGTCCGCGCCCAGCGCCCCCGCGCCCCCCCCTCACAGCCCGCCCCCGGGGGTGTGTGGTTGGGGGCTCTGTCCACCCCCTCCGGCGTCACGGGACGGGCCCAACAAGGGTGCGCGGGGCCCCGGCGTCCCGGGGCCCCCCCTTTCCGGCCCCCTCCCCCCCGGCCTGAACGCCTCTCCGCCCTCCGGGGGGTGGAGGGGGCCCCGACGGCCGCCCGGTCGCCCACGCGGGGACAACAAGAGCGTATCCCCGCGCCCCGTCTCCGGGGCCCCCGGCACCGACCCCACCCACGCGGCCCGGGCGCATGGCCCACCGTGAACCCACCACCCCCCCGCGGCGGGACGCACAACCCAAGGTCGCACCGGGGCCCCCAAGGGGGGGTGGCAGGCGGCTGCTCCTCGCATGCATCCCCCGCCGTCCCGACGGGCCGCGCCGCCCCACGCCGGGCCTGGGCTCCGCCCCCCCCTGCGCCCGTTCCCCCCGTTCCGGCGGTCCCGTGGCCACCCCACCCGCCCTTCCCCCCGTTCCCCCTGTCGCCACCTGTCCCGCTCTCCCCTCCGCCCCCCCTATCGTCCGGGCGCTCCCTGCCCGTGCACTCCCCGGGTGGTCCCGCCGCCGTGGTGGCTTGCCCCCCCCCCCGGCTAGGCCACTGGGCTAGCCTGGGGGGGGGGGGGGGGGGGGGTTGTCACACCCGCGGGCCGTGGCACCCCGACCCCGCCGCTACCCGGATGCCCGCCGTCGGCCCCAGCCGGCCCACCCCCGGGGCGGGCAGCGGCCGGCGCCGCTCCCGGTGCATGGCCCTCGACGCCGCGTTCCCGTTTCAACCCCGCACCCGCCGCGCCGCCCGCCCCCCGCCCCGAGGTGGCGTCCTCCCCCCGCCACCCCCGCGTGGCCTCGCCTCTTGCGCGCCGGCCGACCCCCCGCGCCCCCCCCCGGGCCCGACCTCGCCGCGCCCCCACTGAGTGCCCCATCCCCGCCGCCACCGGCCCTCCCCGCCGGGCTCCGCCGGCTCCCGCGCCCCCCCGCCCCCGCCCCCCGACGCCACCGTCTCCCCGCGGGCCGCCCCCCCGCTCGCTCCCGGGGACCCCCCCCCCGCCCCGCGCGCCCCAGGGTCCCCCTCACCCCCCTTGCACTCCCCCTAGCAACGCGAAGCGCCCTCATCCCCGCGCCGAACCCGGCCGCGACACGGCCCGCGACCGCGCTGCCCCACCACGGTTAATCCCCGACGCATGCTCCTGCCCCCCCCAGCAACCCGTCTGCCCGGCTCTCCGCAACGACAAGCCCGGGCACGCAGCGCCCCCCGCCCCCCCGTCCCCCCCGACGGCGACCCCGAGCCTCACCCGGCAGGGCTCCCTGCGCCGCCGGGGTACCCGCCGCACGCCCCCCCCCTGCTGTTGCCCCCCAGCACCTACGTCCCCACCGGCCCACCGCGTGCCACATGCCACCGCCGTGGTGCCAGGGCCCCCCCCCTGTGGGCACAGATCCGCACTTGTCGCTGGAACGCGGGACCCACCCGCCCCGCCGCCCGGCAGGCCCCCGGCCTGGCCCCCGGGCCCACTACTTGAAGACCCTCCAGCGTTGGGCACCCCCCCCGTCCGCCGCGCCCTCCTCAGTCTCGTTTAGGGGGCCCCCCCCCGGCCCCCATGCCGAACCCGAACACCGGACCCCACTGGTCCAAGCTTAATAATCAATGGGTAATGCTTTTCTAACGGTCCTTAATGCAGTCTCTGTAAAAATATGGAAAGGACCCCTGGAGGTTTACTTTCCTGAAAAAAGTGTGTTATGTGTCGGAACCCTGGTGGTGGGTTGCGGGATATCAGGGAGGGGCACACTGGGGCAATTTCAGTCCAGCAGGCTGGAGCCAATCATGGAGCAGCACAACAGAGGAAGTCAGGTGAAAAGGTGCAAGTGTGTGGTTCATTAGGCTGCAAGACATCATGGAGGAGCACACTGAAGCGCACGCTTACAACCCACTGGTAAGTGCTGACTACAAGTCATGACTTCAAATTGTTATATAGAATTATTACAAATTATTTGTTGTTTGTGCAGCTTAGTCAAGAGTCCCTAATTGATGAAGTCGACTCAGATTCTGACGATTTAACTGTCAAGAAGAAACCTGTAAAAAAGTATGGAAAAAGAAAAATCAAAAACACTTTTCTTCAAGACTCGGAAAGTGACGAACCAAAGGCAAATAAGATTGTTATCATGCAGCTGCAAAAGAAGAAAAATGGGGGCAGGGTTTACAGCAAGAGACACTTCTGCCTCTACTGTTCAATGTCCTGCCACAAAATGTCCCGTCATTTGACTAGAAAACATGGAAATGAAAGTGACGTAGCCAGAGCATTGGCTCTACCTGTGAAGTCTAAAGCACGTAAACTTCAGTTTGATTTGATCAGGAATAGTGGAAACCGTGAGCACAATTTTGAGGTTTTAAAGGCCGGCATTGGAACTTTAGTCCCAGCTAAACAGCCAAATTCCCCAGTTAAATCCAGTGAGTTTTTGCACTGTATAGACTGTGGGGCATTGCTTAAGCGAAAGTCGCTGTGGAGGCATGTGGCCAGGTGCCGGCTTTCACAGAAAGATGCCCAGGCTAAACCAGGTAGAAGTAGGGTCCAGTCCCTCTGCTCCCTAGCCCAGCCTGTACCGGAGGGCATCAGCAAAAAGCTGTGGTCTTTAATTTCGGCAATGCATCAGGATGAGGTCACGGGTGTTGTCAAAGCAGAAAAGGGGATTCTGAGACTCGGAGAGCACCTGTACTTAAAACACGGGCATGATAAGACTAAGCATGATTACATTAGGCAGAAAATGAGAGAAGTCGGTAGGTTAATTAACGAAGCAAAAACCGCAGGGAAACTGAAAACAATTAAGGATTTCTTTATTCCTTCCAACTTTAACCATGTGATTGATGCAGTCAGGTCTGTGGCTGGATATGATGAGGAAACAAATCAATACAAGACTCCATCCTTGGCCCTCAAACTCGGCCATAGCCTCAGAAAGCTAGCAGATATTCTTGAATGTGACTCAAAAATGGAGCATTGTATTGATGAACTATTTATTAAAAACCTCCAACGAAGCCGGCTGCTTTTTGAGAAGAGGTGGGACGTCTGTGTTTCTTCTGCTGCCCTACAGACCCTCCGGCAAGCCAAGTGGAACACTCCGGACCTGCTCCCTCTGACTGAGGACGTTAGAGCCATGCATGCACATATTGAGGTATGTCGACCTGAATATGTGCAAACCCTAATAAGTGAGCCAACGTCTAAGCATTGGTCTAAACTGGCAGTTTTGACTCTTTGTGAGGTCATCATTTTCAATCGAAGAAGGGAAGGTGAGGTTTCAAAGATGCCACTGACAGCCTTTACCTTAAGAAGTAAGACTGGGATCCATTCTGACATTGCTCTGGGACTGTCCCAACTTGAGAAAAAGCTGTGTCAGCATTTTCAACGCATTGAAATTAAAGGGAAAAGAAGTCGGAAAGTGCCGGTTCTTTTGACTCCTGAAATGATTGCTTCGATGGAGGTGCTGGTGGAGAACAGAAGGGCCTGTTCCATCTCTGACCATAACCCATACTTCTTTTCCCGCCCGGGCGCAGACACCCACATCAGGGGATCAGACTCCCTACGCCAGGTAGCCAAAGAATGTGGTGCGGTGCATCCAGAGATGCTATCCTCAACCAAACTTAGAAAGCACATAGCTACTATGTCTACAGTTCTCAATATGAAAGAGAATGAGATGGACATACTTGCCAACTTCCTCGGCCATGACATTCGCATCCACAGGCAATATTACAGACTACCAGAGGGGACACTGGAGCTGGCCAAAATCAGCAAAGTGTTGATGGCCATGGAGCAGGGAAGAGTGACGGAATTCGAAGGAAAGAGCCTCGACCAGATACAAATTGAGCCTGAAGGTAATTCTTGATATTATTAAAATATGTATGATTTTTTTCCCCTAAAGGCCACTTGTATTTTTATTTTCTGTGCGACAGGGAGAGCAGTAGAGATCCTCTCACAAACGGACGGGCTAAAAGAAACTTCAAGCGGAGAACCTTCAACCATTCATCCAGATGCACCCCATGGTAGTGGCAGTGCCCCTTCTGGTAAGTGTACCAGGTGGGGGATTACAGCCAGGCTGCTTGGTCCTAACCCTGGGAGTGTATATTGCTAATATATTTTTATTTCTCTCCCTAGAACGTGTAAGAAAGCCATGGTCTGCATCTGAGGTGAAGGCTGTGGAGAAGACCATGACACCTTTCATACAGACTGGAAAGGTCCCTGGGAAGTCTCACTGCCTGGCCTGCATTAATGCCTCACCAGATGACCTTAGACATCGGACATGGAGTGGCATTAAATTCTATGTCAAAAATAGAATCACTGCAATTCAAAAACAAAATCTAAAATAAAATTCCTTTAAAATAGTTGTTTGGTTTCTATTGACTGTTTTGTATTACTTAAAGTAGTCCCAGTAAAAAAAGATTATGTCTATGGGTCCCATTCTGAACGGCCCTGTCAAAGGGACCCACCAGGTAACAAAAACGTGTATGTGTGTGTGTGTGTGTGTGTTTCTGGGGTTTTTTGTGGTGTGGGGTATTGTATATTACTGCATGTACTACACAGTCAAGTAGGTTTCATTGCAGTGTACTCTGTGTATTATTGTGCAGCTTGGGATCAAATAAACCTGTTTTAGTGTGAAGGTATGTGAAACTGTGTTCTGCACCTTTAAAATAAATGATTTAAACTAATAAGAGAATGTGTCATCTCAATGTGTAATGCCAAGTGTTTATTATACACATATCCTATCCACATCCTAATGCTACTACAGCTGGATACACTGTAAAATATTTGAGCTTGTTTTGCCTTTCTGTTAATTTTTGTCAACATTTTAAAATCGCCCTGGAATGTGTGACTTTTAACATTTGTATTTATTTCATATGCAATGCAGTTTTGTTTAAAAGTTCACACTCCCTTGAATAAAGGTACATTTGTTGGCCATATTTCAGAGAACAGAGATCGTATTTCAGAGCGAATGATAGCAGTTGTATGAGGTAATAAAATCTTCTGACCCTGATAAGAAGTCCTTGTCCCAAAGTTCTCATTAGCCTGTACTTCCCCTTTAACATCTATGACAGCTTGGAGACTTTTGTGGCAGTTTTAGATGAGGTTCTTTATCCTGTCCGATGGTAAAGCTGTCCATTCTTATAGTCAAGGTGGCTACATTTCCTGTACATTCCTGGGCTGCCTTGCATGAAATATGTTTGAGATTTTGGCCTGAGACCCTAGACATGTCGCATGTGTTTAAAAAGGAGAATTGTCGCCTGGGAA